TACTGGCTCCATAATTCACTTTTTTACGCTTTCACTTTTGGGCCATTCGCTCCAACATAGCTGCTATTTTGCATCTTCCGACCCAACCTCAGCTTGGCATGGACAGGATTGGGGTGTAGGGTTTGGGGTTTATTGACTCACGTTTGTAGGAATCGAACTCCTCTCTCGTCGATGATTGCTCAATGAGTTTCATTGGAAACATGCTTTTTGTTCAAATAAACTCACTGTGTCGCTTGCTTGTTTGGTGCTTTTTGCTTGGAGTTCATTGATGCGATAAGGATCAAGCATCAAATCATCAATTAGAATGATAGTCTCAAAATAGGTTTGATAGCTGATCTTAAAGATGTTTTTGTAGGATTGTGTTTGTTCAATTGTCTCAATAGAACTGAAATAGAATTCAATAAGGAACAAACCCGAGTAGAGTTTCTACTTTAAAGAGAGTTTACATAGGATTTCCTTGTCGAACAAGATGCGCAATTAAAATTCCTATTTGAAACTAGACGCTCAAACGGGTTGATTTTGTTGGCATAGTTTCAATAGAACTTGATAAGGACATGAGTCTAATAGAATGTCTAGCTTTCAAGAGAATTTGCATAGGTGCTTTAAAAGACGGTTTTTAACAACTGGAAAATAATTCAACCTTCTAATTAGAACTTCTAAATAGAAATTAACAGTGAACAACGCTTGATACAATGTCTAGACTTAAGGATGATTTGAATAGGATTTCCATCTTGAAGAAGATTGTTAATTGGGATTCTTACTTCAAACTACGTTCCAAAGAGAACATCCTTTCCCGGATTCAGAATTAGCTGGAATCTAACTAGGACAAAACTATGCGAAAGACAATCTAAATAGGATTTCCTTTTCAATCAAAAACACATAATTGGATTTGTTATTCCAAATTGAACGAGGGAGAGGATTTTCTTGCATAGGGTGGGCTGATGCTGGTCAAGTCGCATGGGGAAATAAAACAACTGCATTCCATCTCCAAAACAGCCTTCAAGCAGCGAAAAGGTAGATCCATCGGGGGGCGTGCATATATGTATAAACATTCATAGATAGAATAGATACATAGGTATAGATAGGTATGTAGGTAGGTAGAGAAGTAGGTAAGTAGATGGGTAAGTAAATGCATAGGTACATAGATAGATAAACTGATAGATAGGTAGGTAGATAAAGAAATAGATCGGTTGGTTGGTAGGTAGGTAAGTAAATCGGCAAATACATAGATAGACACGTAGGTAGATAGGTATATAGGTAGGTAGGCAGACAGATAAGTAAATAAGTAGATACTGTAAACAGATAGATAGGTCGGTAGGTAGACAAATAAGAGTTAGACAGGTGGGTAGGTAAGCAAATGTATAGGAGGTATGTAGGTAAATATGTAGGTAAGTAGGTTAAGCACATTGATAGGTAGATAGATAGGTAAGTAAATAGATAGGTAAGTAGATAGATAGATAGATAGGTAGGTAGGTAAGTAGAGAAACAGATAGATAAGTAGGTGGGTGAGTAATTAGGTATGTAGGTAGGTGGGTAGGTACGAAAATAAATAAATAAAAAGAGAGATTGGCAGGTAGGTAGGTGGGTAGGTAGATAAATAGATAGGCCGGTAGGTAGGTGGGTACATAGGTAGGTCGGTAAATAGATAAGTAAGTAGATAAATAAATAAGTCGGTAGATACATAACTAGACCACGGTTGGCCCGAAAGCATCACAGCCCCGTGACCAATCTGCGCAAACTGGTCTGCGCAAGTTGCTCTGCGCAAGTTGCTCTGTGCAAGTTGCTCTGTGCAAGTTGCTCCGTGCAAGTTGCTACCTGCAAGTTGCTCTGCGCACGCTGCTCTGTGCAAGTTGCTCTGCGCAAGTTGCTCTGCGCAAGTTGCTTTGCGCAGGCTGCTCTGTGCAAGAAGCTCTGTGCAACTGACTCTGTGCAAATGTCTCTGTACAAGTTGCTCTGCGCAACTTGTTCTGTGCAAGTTGCTCTGCGCAAGTTGCTCTGCGCAAGTTGCTCTGTCAAAGTTGCTCTGCGCAAATTGCTCTGCGCAAGCTGCTCTGTGCAAGTTGCTCTGTGCAAGTTGCTCTGCGCAAGTTGCTTGTGCAAGTTGCTCTGCGCAAGAAGCTCTGTGCAACTGACTCTGTGCAAATGTCTCTGTGCAAGTTGCTCTGCGCAAGTTGTTCTGTGCAAGTTGCTCTGCGCAAGTTGCTCTGCGCAAGATGCTCTGTGCAAGTTGCTCTGTGCAAGTTGCTCTGCGTAAGTTGCTCTGCGCAAGTTGCTCTGGGCAAGGCGCTCTGCGCAAACTGGTCTGTGCAAGTTGCTCTGCGCAAGTTGCTCTGCGCAAAATGTTCTGTTCAACTTGCTCTGCGCAAGTTGCTCTGCTCAAGTTGCTTTCTGCAAGCTGCTCCGTGCAGCTTGCGAAGCCCGCCCGCGGACCAGGGGGAATTCGAACCCGCGACCCGCCGGTCCCGGGAGCAGGCGCCCGAACCACGAGACAGCTCCCAAGGACCAGCTCCGAACAAAAAAGTCGCAAAAAACCTCGAGCTTTTGCACCTCGACCATGCCGACCCCCGCACAAGGTCGCGCGAGCACCGCAGAAATTGTAAAAAAAACCTTGAATTTTTGCACCTCGACCGCCGATCCCCGCAGAGGGTCGCGCGGGCCAAAACAAAATCGCAAAAAACCTCGAGTTTTTGCACCTCGACTACGCCGACCCCTGCAGAGGGTCGCGCGGGCCAAAATACATTCGCAAAAAACCACGAGTTTTTGCACCTCGACCACGGCAATCCCCGCAGAGGGTCGATTTTCGTTCAGTCGTCGGCACTACCACGCCGCCCTAAGAAGAGATTTTAACTCCTCGCAAGTCAATTGCACTTGACTCCTGCGCTTGCAACTTGCACTTGACTCCTTGCACTTGCAACTTGCACTTGACTCCATGCACTTGCAACTTGCACTTGACTCCACGTACTTGCAACTTGCACTTGACTCCTTGCACTTGCAACTTGCGCTTAACTCCTTGCACTTGCAACTTGCGCTTGACTCCATGCACTTAACTCCTTGCACTTGCAACTTGCACTTGGCTCCATGCACTTGCAACTTGCAACTTGCAATGACTCTCATGACTCCTTGCAATGACTCCTTGCAATGACTCCTTGCAATGACTCCTTGCAATGACTCCTTGCAACAATGACTCCTTGCAATGACTGCTTGTAATGACTCCTTGCAATGACTCCTTGCAATGACTCCTTGCAATGACTCCTTGCAATGGCTCCTTGCGATGAATTTCACGATGATGATTCCTTGCAATGACACCTTGGAATGACTCTCATGAGGACAACTCAAGTGCACCCAGCGGAAGGACCCTTTGCCATGCTTTTGGGAATACAAAAAATAAATAGGTAGGCAGATAGATAGATAAATAGGTAGGTAGGTAAGCAAATATAGAGATTGATGAGTAGGTAGGTAGGTACATTCACGGATAGGTAGGTAGGTAGGTAGGTAGGTAAGAAAATAAACCGATAGATAGATAGATAGATACATAAATAGACAGATAGGCTGGTAGGTATAAGTAGGTGAGTAAGTAGGTAGGTAGGTAGGTAGATGTAGGTAGCTAGGTAGATACACAGGCAGGTAGGTAGGTTGGAAGATTGATAGATAGATAGCTAGGTAAACAGATACATAGATAAGTGGATAAGTAGGTGGGTAGACAAACAGCATACCTAGCTGTCCACTTACCGCCCTACCTGCCTACCTATCTATCTCTCTATCTATCTATCTATCTAATCCGACCGACCTGTCGATGCATCTATCTATTTATTTACCTACCTACCCTACTTATCTATCTACCTTCCTATCTACCTACCTGCCTACCTATCTGCCTACCTCCCCATCTACCTATCTACTTACCTACCTATCTATCTGCCTATCTATCTATCTACCTATCTATCTATCTACCTCCCTACCTACCCACCTGTCTGTCTACTACCTATCTATCTATCTGCCTACCTATTTATTTAATCTATCTGCCCTATCTACCTGTCTACCTACCTACCTATCTATTTATCTATCTACCTATCTTTTGATATGCATTATGGTGTACTGACATGCACGTGTTTTCATGTTGATCACTGCACGCCTGCATGCCATTGAGCTTACCCCAAAAAGATTCTTGGCATTGGCAATTGATCGGGCGATGTCCAAAGCCAGCTCCTGATGTTGGGGTCAGCTCTGGACGCCAGAGCCTGCACAGGCGTTCGCCCAAGCCCGGCCAATCGGAATCAAACTTGGGCGCCTTTTTGACAATATCCGGGTTGCAGCCTAGGAAGGCTGTTCATTTTGACATCAAGCTTACTTCCTCTCAGTGTTTGGAAATGATTACCAGGGGTTGGATGCGCCCCGTGAGGAATGCCATGCAGGCTCCCAACCACTCGGCAAAAGGCCGAAAAGGATATAGTTCGACTCCAACACATCGAGTACTGAGGCCCAACGTCGCACGCCGCCCATCAACAGCTTAGACGCCACCGCCATTTCGGCGGCCGACCTTAGCCATCCCACGGTCTCAGATCATGGGATCCCCGCGTGCCCTGCAGGAAGTATGGTGACCAAGTCTAGAAGGTGCCCCGCCATTTTGAGGAGAGCCTTTCTCAGCTTTTCTTTTGCGAGCAAACGCAAACTCTCCAGCGCTTGCCTGAATCAGACCAAGCGGCACTGGCTCGACACTCGGCTTGGAGCCCATGGCAACAAACAAAATCAACTACAAACAAACACCAACACAAAACGAAAGAACGAGGGTAAGCCAACCTCCCGTTGGCAAGGGTTCGGGGCTCTTGGCAAGGGGATGGCGAAAGAACAATCAGGGCTTTCCTGGTTTGGCCAGAAATTAAATTTACAGACGCGCTTGCGAGCTGACATCGCAAGCCAACCCGCTACGCTGCAAGCAAAAACCCGTACAGCACAAGCCCATGGGTGGCAGGCTTGGAAAATGTGTCGAACCCTCCTGCCACAAGCGCCGCTCTGTCCGGCTCCGGCTTGTCCGGCTGTCTGTTCTGCATGAAACTGCCGCGCGCGGCCATTTCTTGGCTTAGGACTTGGGGCTGGCCGTGGGACTGTCCCCAGACCGCCCAAAGCCACGAGCCCAGGCCGCCAAATCTGGCTCGAGGTGAAACAGCGCAGCTGCCGCCTGTGAGCAGCGCTTCCTTGGGTTCCACAAACGTAGAGTCACAAGACGCATGCGGGCTTTTACCATGGATTTGCTATGGATTTGTTACTGGCAAAATTGAAACCTAAACCATTTTGTGTTGCGGCGCAGCTGCTCAGGTGTCTTTTTCCTTCTTCTCCAGCAGCTCCTGGATGGCCTGCCAATCCGAGCAATCAATCTCGGCCTGTCATCTGGGCTGCGTGCACATCCCCTTGGCCGCGGCCGGTGTACGTCCCACCAGCTAACTCTTAGACAAACCAGATTGGTCTGCCAGCACCTGGCAGGAAACTCAGAGGAAGCGCAACCCACATCTGAGAAAGATTGAGAGAGCGAGCATGCACAAATCGATGCAAGCCATGCTGCATGGAATTAATGACCCAGGCAGCAAAACCAGACTTTCTTTGGAACAGGAGGCAGTTGATCTAGCTTGTTGCTGATGCGCCTGCCTCAAAGTGAGCGCCCTGTGCTTGTTTCGTGTGTTCCGGGGAAGGGCATACCGCGACGCTCGGGTTCGGGGCGCGTGCCGGGCCGGGCAGGACGCACGCACTTTTCGTGCAGTTTGTGTGACAGGCGCAGTACTTGCGCAAGGTCAGGTATAGATTTCGCAGCAGGCGCCGCACTTTCTTGGGGATAGCAAATGCTCAATTCGAGCGCCCTGTGCGCGGTTTTGGCGTGTTCCAGGGAAGCGCAACTTCGTTTTTTTGCGGGCGCAAGAGTGCGGCGCCGGGCCCGTTGGCACGGACGCGCGCTTTCCGCGACATAGTCGCAACGGCAGCTTGACAAATAGATAGCTTGACAAATGGACAGCCCAACAGATCGATAGCATGACCGATGGCCAGCTTGCCAGAAAGAAAGTTTGACAGATAGCTTGACAAATAGATAGCTGCACAGATAGCTGGCTTAACAGACTTGACAGATAGAGAGCCCCCAGATTAGCTTGGCAGATGCATATCTGGACAAACATGTAGCTTGACAAAAGATAGCTTAACAGAGAGATAGCTAGACAAATAGCAGGTAGCTTGACAGATATTGGTAGCTGGACAAATAGCTGGCCCGCCAATATATCTGAACAGACTCTGATAGAGACCTCGACAGTAGTTGGATACAATGCACAGGCGCAGATGATACAAATGAGCAGCATGTTTCCATGACCATTTCATGGATCGCCAAAGCAATTGCAAGCAGCCCAAGAGTGAGTAGACCTGTAGAAACTTGCGCCCGCCGGCTTCGCTAGCTCTGCTGGTACGATCAACTCCACACAGCACAAAATGCCATAAACTGAGCAAGGCCGGCCATCATCAGGGACCATGAGCCGAGCCTCGTTTTTGTCGCTCACTTCCGAGGCCGGGGTGTGCGTCGCAGGCATGTCTAGCTTCATCTGTCCACACAGCTTGCATGAGGAATGTGGGCCAGAGGCAACACAAGCAATCAGAAAGCACTGGAAAGGATTCTCTGGGAGCTATGTTGGGCGGAGCGAATGTGCCCAAGGCCCGCTTGTAATTGATTTAAATAGCAGAACAGGGATGATTTTGGTCGGTGTAGCACTGAGTGTCTGTGTCTCGGAAAAGAAAGGGACTCCCTAAAGACGAATGATGTCAGTAGAACATAGTTGGCTCAAATGTGAACAAACGAGAATCTTTAATGCGCTTGACGTGGGAAAACAGCATGTCAAGTAGATCCAAGGTGGACTTCCACACGACTTTTGCCTGGCAAACGATAAACCTGAGCCAATGTATGTGTCAATGAGATACGAGCGGGAGGGTTCACATGCTCGGCGCCTTCATCACCATCGCCATGAGGGGCTCGTAGTATTTGTCGTCCAAGCTCTTGTGCGCTGGCTGGATGTGCTTGTACCTTGTCAAGCGATCCCTCCAATGTCCAGGATAACTAGCAGTGCCTCGCCCACAAAAGACCTCAGGTCCCTCTGAAAGCTCCTCCCCTGTACTCATGGCAAAGTCGAAAATAGAACAGCCATCGCATCGCAGCGTGTTTCTCTGTCATTGAAACACTTCCGAGGTGCCACAACCAGGCGGCTCCCTTGTGCTCGTTGCTCCTCGGCAACTGAACAAACATTTCTGCGGTACGGAGCGCAGGGCCAAGCGCTCTGAGGCTCCCTGAGAGGGAGACGCCAGCCAGAGGAAGAAAAGGATCTTCATCTCCTTGGGGTCAGCTTTGCACGCTGTCAGTGCTGACATTAGCCACGCAGCCAGGTACAGGGGGCAGTACTCCACCAATACCCAAAGGATGGCAGGCTCCAGGTACAACCAAATCGAGCAAATCACCTCACCAGCTGGGAGCTGAGGCTTGGG